GCATCACCCCAGACACGAGTTACTGGGTATTTCTGTCTATGTACTGGCTAAAGTGTAAAAAAACCTACAGAAAAGAAAAAGTGTTTTGAATCTGAAAGACACGTACTTTCCACCTATAGAAACATCTGATATATTTCAATTCTTTACTCGGTGTGACGTTTCAAACTACGAAATGTTGGCCTCTTTGAGGCACACTTCTGGCCAACGCTATATCATGCAGCGAAATAAAATGTACAAGTTTTATGGCTTACAACCATACCTAAAAGTAGCTGAAAAATACGTATTTGTATTTATGTCAGTAAAGTATACATCGCTTGAAAAGATAGAAGTCTTAAAAAGATACTACTTCGTTTAATTAACTTCAAAAATTCCTACACTGGTTTCAACCAACGTATCAATATCAATGAGTTCGTCTAACCGATAAGTGCATGTTCTTAATTAATAGCTAGTTATATCGAAAAAGAAAATGCCATCACACACAAAAATGGGCAGCCTTGTTAAATGTTCTTTAAATATTTCAAACAAGCCTCCCGAAAACAATCTACTTATATTTTACTTTTGAAAAAGATAAATAATAAATACAAAACACTGACTGCAATGCCACGTGTAAAAAATATGTTCCAATTATTGTCTAAAAATTGTATGAAAATTTTAAATGCAGTTCAAAGATTGAAATAATAATAGTAGTAATAATTATAAAGCATGAAACGCCCAAAGGTTACTTTCATGTCACAGTTAAGCTTAACAACTGGAATCAGTGTTCCACTTATAAGACCATATTAATTTAAGGTTATCGTACAATTAATTATATATATACATATATTGAAAAGTTAACTAATATGTTGGTAGAAAGAAGTCGATCTATCGTAAGCTCACTAAGGTGACGGCTTGGGATGGGGAAAGTATTAATATTAATGAATAAAACAGGATCAATTCCAGTTTCACCTTTTGAATTAGTACATTCTGTCACGCGAAGAGCAGTGTGCCAGTCTCCTTACAGCT